ACAATATTCATTCTCTTTAGAGGCTATTGCAATTTGACCTTCAAATATCATGTTCTCCAATGTATTCTGTTACTCTTTACCTGTGATAACTCAATTATGGCTTTAGTTTCTTTCTTTGATTGGCTTCAATGTCCCCATATTTTTAAACAAAAGCCTCCATAATAGTAAGGAATTTCTTACTGCCACAGCGCCACCTACTGGTAGGCCACTACAGAAGCAAGCTAGCGTTAGCTTAACTTTGACCCACACTTTGGAGTCCTTCTGAGCTCTGATTTTATAAAATGCCAATTTCTTTGTCATTCCGAGAAACTATCACTTCTCTTGATAGCTATTAAGCCTCTTGCTGTGATATAAAGTCAGCAAGTTATCATTAAAAAATATGCTCTCATTCTTACTGTTACCTTAAATTGGCCCTGACTTCACCGACTTTGATTTTCTCTGTCCTATAACTGTAGCAAGGGCTCCAGATTGTGTGGGCAAGGGTTTGGATCTGGCGAAAATAACTTGGGGAGCTTCCAAAGATCCTGAAAAATGTAAAAAAAAATCCCTACTTAACACTTTATTTGATCTTGGTGAAAGGACAAGAGGTCAAATCTAAAACTAGGTCTTAGGATAGGACAACAACCAGAGAGAAGAACAGCAAGGGACACCAGGCCTGGAAAACTGCCCAGAATATAGCATTAGGTGGCGGGCGACAGAAGGACCAAAGAAGGAAAGAGAAGGTTGAGAAATACATAGAACATAAAGAAAGGAGAAAATAAACAGCTATGTGTATTGCAAGAAAATAAAACCAAAAACCAAAAAAAAAAAAAAACCAAACCTAGGTTTTAGGGGATCGTTTGCCCACGTGCTGACACCAAGTTTCCTGCCAAACACCAAATCTGTGCCCTTTTTTTTCTAACATTGTAAGAGTGGGTAATCAACCCAAATTCTTAGCCCTCTGGCTCCGGGGAGAGAAGAACATTTTGGGAGCAATAAAGGATCTAATCCACTAGGGCAAGCATCTCAAGAGCTTTAGTTATTTTCATTATTAATCTATTATACTCCAGATCCATCCAGGATCCATGACAACTATATAATGCTTGGTGAAAGGAGTAAGAATCTACTAATAAAAATAGGTCATTCTGCTGAGAACTACCAGGCAAATAATTTTGCTTGAAAGTTAAAGTGATTTCTAGATCCTTAGAGTTTACGCTCCACTGGGTTTACTCTGTACTAAAACAAGTTCCCTTCTCTTGTCACACGGAGAGACAGTGAAGTGGGCAGTCAGAGTCACACTGATGTGCTGTTGCCCCCGCCCCATGCAAAGAAAGAGGATAAAGCTAAAGTGCTAAAATGCACCAAGGCCCAAAATAACCAATACTTAACAAGGACATTGTTTCTCACTTCTTGTAAATGAAATCCAGCACTGGTGTTCAAAAGGCAGTAAGAATCCTTCCACCAACTACAGACCGTAAGAGCTTTAAACAACAACAACAACAACAACAAACGGGGGTGGGGGCAGGCAGAGGTTGGGCTCCAGGACAGAAAAGGCGTAGGCAGAAGCTAAGGCCAGGGATGAAGGCAGCTGGTATGGCCTCAGACCCTATAAGAATGGTGGTTTACACTATCAAGTCAGCATGAGAGAAATGCCAGTTATCTAATCTGTGGCTCTCTGCTATTTTAGTTCACCATCGCTACTTTAGAATTCAAGAACGCCATGGTTATAAAGAACGAAGGCCAATGGCTTTGGCTTTGAGCCAAAGGCCCTCACTCTAGCTTCCTTCTCAAGTTTCCCAATTTGCTGACTCTACACCTTCCCTTCCATAGCAAAGTCAGAATGTTTAGTGGGGAAGTCAAGGAAAAAGTAACATTTGTGGGGCATTCCAGGCCTTCTGCTAGCAGCTTTCACATTCACTACCTCATTTAATGTTCATAATTAGAAGAACAATGTCGCTAGGTCACCATCAGTGGGAAAGGATTCGGAGTTGTTTTTCAACAGTGTGCTGGGATAAACGAGTATCTCATTCAGGCGCCCGACGAACAAAGTGACACAGCTTCAAGGCCTGGTTGGCTAGACTTGTAGAGGGTCAAGGGGCCAGGAAACAGACTTTTGCTATATTCATGCTACTCAATAATACCATGTTTAACCAACTGAGTTAACTGGACCAGACAGGGGCTAAATACCTTTCAAAGTCAGTGTAGCGATTCCTGTTGAGGTACAAACGTCCCATCTCTGAGAGACATGTAAACTTTGACTTATTATGGGGGTTGTTCTCCCTTCTTGTGGGTTTAAAGAAAAATGTTTCTAATAGCAACCTAACCCTCCTTTTTGTAGGATACCCTTCTGAACCCCTAGAATAACACCTTTAAATCTGCGTGTCATATAGAAAAACACACGCTTTGTAGTTGAAACACTGCAGTGCCAGGTAGCTACTTACTAGCTGTGTAAATAACTCTAATGGGGTTAGTTAGCATTGTACCGCTAAGGCAAAATGTTTATTGGGAAGTATGGAAAATGCCTGAGACTCACTATACCATGTTCATCAGTGTTTCTTTAACTGAGGATCAGGAACACCAGGAAAGGCACAGAATAGAAACAAACTCAAGGCACGTCAGAGGCCCAGAGTCACTGGAGACAAAAGCAGTCAGCAGCAGTCGGCCTAAACAAGGTGAGAAGAACACACTTGTCTTAAGGCAGAAGCAGGGAAAAGGTAGATATTAGAATCCAGGGAGTTACACAACTTCTCTTTGCTCTGCGGCTTTGTGATGCTACTGAATGCATTACAACTGTTACAAAATCTCTTAACAGATAACTTCAGCCAATAAATATTAATTCATGATCGAGATGCTGAGAGTATGAGCCACCTGGCCCCTCAAATGTCCAACTTCCCCAGCCAGAGTGCATGCAGAGAGTTCAATTCTGTACTTAACACATCAGTCAGACATGCAAATGCAGTAGGCAGGTTTCCTGCATCTCCTTCGCTTTGCAACCCTCTCTGGCTGCAGCAATTTGCTGGATAGAGACACTCAGCTGTCTATGGTGCAAAATTCTGCCAGCCACCCATTTCCCAGGCCATAACAGTTCCAGTGGGAAGTTTTACTTCCTTAAAAATCACGACCATATTCTAGTAATTCTTTTTGGGGGGAGGGGAGGGGCAAGTAGATACCCATCAAATATTTCTTGAATTCAGGTTCTAAGATCTTAAGCGGAGAGTAAAATCTTTATACTCATATCATTACCTGCCCTGGGTGTCGTTATAAAGCCTTTCTCTGTATATTGTGTCCTTTAGTTCCATAGTAAGCCTATGCGATATATGTAATTATCCCCATGATACAGTCTAACCAGGCTACACACACACACACACACACACACACACACACACCCTCCACACCCTGGCCCTCGACGCCTCGATGGCTGGGTCTTGCACTCAGGACTAAGTTCCCTCCATGGCTCACGAACCGGCCCTGTTACCTCCATGACCTACACCAGGCTATACACACACACACACACACACACACACACACACACAGGACTAAGTTCCCTCCATGGCTCACGAACCGGCC